TGTACCTCATCTGCTGTTACTGCACCTCATCTGCTGTTACTGCACCTCATCTGCTGTTACTGCTCTTCATCTGCTGTTACTGCACTTCATCTGCTGTTACTGCACCTCATCTGCTGTTACTGCACTTCATCTGCTGTTACTGCACTTCATCTGCTGTTACTGCACTTCATCTGCTGTTACTGCACTTCATCTGCTGTACTTCATCTGCTGTTACTGTACTTCATCTGCTGTTACTGTACTTCATCTGCTGTTACTGTACTTCATCTGCTGTTACTGCACCTCATCTGCTGTTACTGCTCTTCATCTGCTGTTACTGCACTTCATCTGCTGTTACTGCACTTCATCTGCTGTTACTGTACCTCATCTGCTGTTACTGCACTTCATCTGCTGTTACTGCACTTCATCTGCTGTTACTGCACTTCATCTGCTGTTACTGCACTTCATCTGCTGTTACTGCACTTCATCTGCTGTTACTGCACTTCATCTGCTGTTACTGCACCTCATCTTCTGTTACTGCACCTCATCTGCTGTTACTGCACTTCATCTGCTGTTACTGCACTTCATCTGCTGTTACTGCTCTTCATCTGCTGTTACTGCACTTCATCTGCTGTTACTGCTCTTCATCTGCTGTTACTGCACTTCATCTGCTGTTACTGCTCTTCATCTGCTGTTACTGCACTTCATCTGCTGTTACTGCACTTCATCTGCTGTTACTGCTCTTCATCTGCTGTTACTGCACTTCATCTGCTGTTACTGCTCTTCATCTGCTGTTACTGCACCTCATCTGCTGTTACTGCTCTTCATCTGATGTTACTGCACTTCATCTGCTGTTACTGCTCTTCATCTGCTGTTACTGCACTTCATCTGCTGTTACTGCTCTTCATCTGCTGTTACTGCACTTCATCTGCTGTTACTGCTCTTCATCTGCTGTTACTGCACCTCATCTGCTGTTACTGCTCTTCATCTGCTGTTACTGCACTTCATCTGCTGTTACTGCACCTCATCTGCTGTTACTGCACCTCATCTGCTGTTACTGCTCTTCATCTGCTGTTACTGCACTTCATCTGCTGTTACTGCACCTCATCTGCTGTTACTGCACCTCATCTGCTGTTACTGCACTTCATCTGCTGTTACTGCACTTCATCTGCTGTTACTGCACTTCATCTGCTGTTACTGCACCTCATCTGCTGTTACTGCACCTCATCTGCTGTTACTGCACTTCATCTGCTGTTACTGCACTTCATCTGCTGTTACTGCACTTCATCTGCTGTTACTGCACTTCATCTGCTGTTACTGCACTTCATCTGCTGTTACTGCACTTCATCTGCTGTTACTGCACCTCATCTTCTGTTACTGCACCTCATCTGCTGTTACTGCACTTCATCTGCTGTTACTGCACTTCATCTGCTGTTACTGCTCTTCATCTGCTGTTACTGCACTTCATCTGCTGTTACTGCTCTTCATCTGCTGTTACTGCACTTCATCTGCTGTTACTGCTCTTCATCTGCTGTTACTGCACTTCATCTGCTGTTACTGCACTTCATCTGCTGTTACTGCTCTTCATCTGCTGTTACTGCACTTCATCTGCTGTTACTGCTCTTCATCTGCTGTTACTGCACCTCATCTGCTGTTACTGCTCTTCATCTGATGTTACTGCACTTCATCTGCTGTTACTGCTCTTCATCTGCTGTTACTGCACTTCATCTGCTGTTACTGCTCTTCATCTGCTGTTACTGCACTTCATCTGCTGTTACTGCTCTTCATCTGCTGTTACTGCACCTCATCTGCTGTTACTGCTCTTCATCTGCTGTTACTGCACTTCATCTGCTGTTACTGCACCTCATCTGCTGTTACTGCACCTCATCTGCTGTTACTGCTCTTCATCTGCTGTTACTGCACTTCATCTGCTGTTACTGCACCTCATCTGCTGTTACTGCACCTCATCTGCTGTTACTGCACTTCATCTGCTGTTACTGCACTTCATCTGCTGTTACTGCACTTCATCTGCTGTTACTGCACCTCATCTGCTGTTACTGCACCTCATCTGCTGTTACTGCACTTCATCTGCTGTTACTGCACTTCATCTGCTGTTACTGCACTTCATCTGCTGTTACTGCACTTCATCTGCTATTACTGTACTTCATCTGCTGTTACTGCACTTCATCTGCTGTTACTGCACTTCATCTGCTGTTACTGCACTTCATCTGCTGTTACTGCACTTCATCTGCTGTTACTGCACTTCATCTGCTGTTACTGTACTTCATCTACTGTTACTGCACTTCATCTGCTGTTACTGCACTTCATCTGCTGTTACTGCACTTCATCTGCTGTTACTGCACTTCATCTGCTGTTACTGCACTTCATCTGCTGTTACTGCACTTCATCTGCTGTTACTGTACCTCATCTGCTGTTACTGCTCTTCATCTGCTGTTACTGCACTTCATCTGCTGTTACTGCACCTCATCTGCTGTTACTGCACCTCATCTGCTGTTACTGCTCTTCATCTGCTGTTACTGCACTTCATCTGCTGTTACTGTACCTCATCTGCTGTTACTGCTCTTCATCTGCTGTTACTGCACTTCATCTGCTGTTACTGCACCTCATCTGCTGTTACTGCTCTTCATCTGCTGTTACTGCACTTCATCTGCTGTTACTGCACTTCATCTGCTGTTACTGCACCTCATCTGCTGTTACTGCACCTCATCTGCTGTTACTGCTCTTCATCTGCTGTTACTGCACTTCATCTGCTGTTACTGCACTTCATCTGCTGTTACTGCACTTCATCTGCTGTTACTGCACTTCATCTGCTGTTACTGTACTTCATCTGCTGTTTCTGCACTTCATCTGCTGTTACTGTACTTCATCTGCTGTTACTGCACTTCATCTGCTGTTACTGCACTTCATCTGCTGTTACTGTACTTCATCTGCTGTTACTGCACTTCATCTGCTGTTACTGCACTTCATCTGCTGTTACTGCACTTCATCTGCTGTTACTGCACTTCATCTGCTGTTACTGCACTTCATCTGCTGTTACTGCACTTCATCTGCTGTTACTGTACTTCATCTGCTGTTACTGCACTTCATCTGCTGTTACTGCACTTCATCTGCTGTTACTGCACTTCATCTGCTGTTACTGCACTTCATCTGCTGTTACTGCACTTCATCTGCTGTTACTGCACTTCATCTGCTGTTACTGCACCTCATCTGCTGTTACTGTACTTCATCTGCTGTTACTGCACTTCATCTGCTGTTACTGTACCTCATCTGCTGTTACTGCACCTCATCTGCTGTTACTGCACCTCATCTGCTGTTACTGCTCTTCATCTGCTGTTACTGCACTTCATCTGCTGTTACTGCACCTCATCTGCTGTTACTGCACTTCATCTGCTGTTACTGCACTTCATCTGCTGTTACTGCACTTCATCTGCTGTTACTGCACTTCATCTGCTGTTACTGCACTTCATCTGCTGTACTTCATCTGCTGTTACTGTACTTCATCTGCTGTTACTGCACCTCATCTGCTGTTACTGCTCTTCATCTGCTGTTACTGCACTTCATCTGCTGTTACTGCACTTCATCTGCTGTTACTGTACCTCATCTGCTGTTACTGCACTTCATCTGCTGTTACTGCACTTCATCTGCTGTTACTGCACTTCATCTGCTGTTACTGCACTTCATCTGCTGTTACTGCACTTCATCTGCTGTTACTGCACTTCATCTGCTGTTACTGCACCTCATCTTCTGTTACTGCACCTCATCTGCTGTTACTGCACTTCATCTGCTGTTACTGCACTTCATCTGCTGTTACTGCTCTTCATCTGCTGTTACTGTACCTCATCTGCTGTTACTGCTCTTCATCTGCTGTTACTGCACCTCATCTGCTGTTACTGCTCTTCATCTGCTGTTACTGCACTTCATCTGCTGTTACTGCACCTCATCTGCTGTTACTGCACCTCATCTGCTGTTACTGCTCTTCATCTGCTGTTACTGCACTTCATCTGCTGTTACTGCACCTCATCTGCTGTTACTGCACCTCATCTGCTGTTACTGCACTTCATCTGCTGTTACTGCACTTCATCTGCTGTTACTGCACTTCATCTGCTGTTACTGCACCTCATCTGCTGTTACTGCACCTCATCTGCTGTTACTGCACTTCATCTGCTGTTACTGCACCTCATCTGCTGTTACTGCACTTCATCTGCTGTTACTGCACTTTATCTGCTGTTACTGCACTTCATCTGCTGTTACTGCACTTCATCTGCTGTTACTGCACCTCATCTGCTGTTACTGCACTTCATCTGCTGTTACTGCACTTCATCTGCTGTTACTGCACCTCATCTGCTGTTACTGCACTTCATCTGCTGTTACTGCACTTCATCTGCTGTTACTGCACTTCATCTGCTGTTACTGCACTTCATCTGCTGTTACTGCACTTCATCTGCTGTTACTGTACTTCATCTGCTGTTACTGTTCTTCATCTGCTGTTACTGCACTTCATCTGCTGTTACTGCACTTCATCTAGTGCTGTTACTGCACTTCATCTGCTGTTACTGTACTTCCTCTAGTGCTGTCGATCAGCATGTGAAGCTGAGTTTATCCTGAAGCCGTCTGCTCTTCAGATCCTATTAGTGAAGAAGCGTCTCCCACTGACTGAAACACAGTTCATAGAGGTGATTTCAGCTTAATCACGCAGATCATGACCGACTCTTTCTGCTTCATCTTTCATTTCCACTAATAGCTGAAAGGGGATTTCAGTTTCTTTCACATGTATTAATAATTTGAATTAGTTTTGTTTACATATTTTCCATTTTAGCTAAAGTTGTATTTATTTTTTTAAATATGGCCATATAGTTTTATTCATTTTTATTTCAGTTTTAGTTTTTTTTTGTGTGAGTGTGTGTGTGAGAGAGAGAGAGAGAGCGTGTGTGTGTGTGAGAGAGAGATAATGTGTGTGTGTGTGTGTGTGTGTGTGTTGTGTGCGTGTGTGTGCGTGGATAATCTTGTGTAACGTCACGTCTGCCCGCTCGGTATTGTTAACCGGATTCTCTCAGCAGGAGCTCTCTCTGTAAGAGCCACTCGGGCGCTACTCGGAGGAGCTGCTGGGAGAGTGTGTGTTTCTTCATGCCGGTTTGAGTGCGCAGGAGTCGGTATGTCTGTGCAGAATAACCCACTTCAGGTGCACAACATCCCCTGGAGGAACAACAACTTCAGCCTGATGAGCCGAGACCCGCCGCTGTCCGACCAGGGAGAGACGATCATCGGCGTGTACCTGCTCATTCTGGGTCAGAATCCTTCATTTACCTTAAGTTACCTCATTCTCATTTTATCAGGTTTACCTCAGTCTCACTTTATCATGTTTACCTCAGTCTCACTTTATCATGTTTACCTCAGTCTCACTTTATCAGGTTTACCTCAGTCTCATTTTATCATGTTTACCTCAGTCTCATTTTATCAGGTTTACCTCACTTAATCATGTTTACCTCAGTCTCACTTTATCAGGTTTACCTCAGTCTCACTTTATCAGGTTTACCTCAGTCTCATTTTATCAGGTTTACCTCACTTTATCATGTTTACCTCAGTCTCATTTTATCAGGTTTACCTCACTTTATCATGTTTACCTCAGTCTCATTTTATCAGGTTTACCTCACTTTATCATGTTTACCTCAGTCTCACTTTATCAGGTTTACCTCAGTCTCACTTTATCATGTTTACCTCAGTCTCATTTTATCAGGTTTACCTCAGTCTCACTTTATCATGTTTACCTCAGTCTCACTTTATCATGTTTACCTCAGTCTCATTTTATCATGTTTACCTCAGTCTCATTTTATCATGTTTACCTCACTTAATCATGTTTACCTCAGTCTCATTTTATCAGGTTTACCTCACTTAATCATGTTTACCTCAGTCTCACTTTATCATGTTTACCTCAGTCTCACTTTATCATGTTTACCTCAGTCTCATTTTATCAGGTTTACCTCAGTCTCACTTTATCATGTTTACCTCAGTCTCATTTTATCAGGTTTACCTCAGTCTCACTTTATCATGTTTACCTCAGTCTCATTTTATCATGTTTACCTCAGTCTCATTTTATTAGGTTTACCTCAGTCTCATTTTATCATGTTTACCTCAGTCTCATTTTATCATGTTTACCTCAGTCTCATTTTATCATGTTTACCTCAGTCTCACTTTATCATGTTTACCTCAGTCTCACTTTATCATGTTTACCTCAGTCTCATTTTATCATGCTTACCTCAGTCTCATTTTATTAGGTTTACCTCAGTCTCATTTTATCATGTTTACCTCAGTCTCATTTTATCATGTTTACCTCAGTCTCACTTTATCAGGTTTACCTCAGTCTCATTTTATCATGTTTACCTCAGTCTCATTTTATCATGCTTACCTCAGTCTCATTTTATTAGGTTTACCTCAGTCTCATTTTATCATGTTTACCTCAGTCTCACTTTATCATGTTTACCTCAGTCTCATTTTATTAGGTTTACCTCAGTCTCATTTTATCATGTTTACCTCAGTCTCATTTTATCATGTTTACCTCAGTCTCACTTTATCATGTTTACCTCAGTCTCACTTTATCTAGTTTACCTCAGTCTCATTTTATCATGCTTACCTCAGTCTCATTTTATTAGGTTTACCTCAGTCTCATTTTATCATGTTTACCTCAGTCTCACTTTATCATGTTTACCTCAGTCTCATTTTATCAGGTTTACCTCAGTCTCACTTTATCATGTTTACCTCAGTCTCACTTTATCATGTTTACCTCAGTCTCATTTTATCATGCTTACCTCAGTCTCATTTTATTAGGTTTACCTCAGTCTCATTTTATCAGGTTTACCTCAGTCTCACTTTATCAGGTTTACCTCAGTCTCATTTTATCAGGTTTACCTCAGTCTCATTTTATCATGTTTACCTCAGTCTCATTTTATCATGTTTACCTCAGTCTCATTTTATCATGTTTACCTCATTCTCATTTTATCATGTTTACCTCAGTCTCATTTTATCATGTTTACCTCAGTCTCACTTTATCATGTTTACCTCAGTCTCATTTTATCATGTTTACCTCAGTCTCACTTTATCATGTTTACCTCAGTCTCATTTTATCAGGTTTACCTCAGTCTCACTTTATCATGTTTACCTCAGTCTCATTTTATCATGTTTACCTCAGTCTCACTTTATCATGTTTACCTCAGTCTCACTTTATCATGTTTACCTCAGTCTCATTTTATCATGCTTACCTCAGTCTCATTTTATTAGGTTTACCTCAGTCTCATTTTATCATGTTTACCTCAGTCTCACTTTATCATGTTTACCTCAGTCTCATTTTATCAGGTTTACCTCAGTCTCACTTTATCATGTTTACCTCAGTCTCACTTTATCATGTTTACCTCAGTCTCATTTTATCATGCTTACCTCAGTCTCATTTTATTAGGTTTACCTCAGTCTCATTTTATCAGGTTTACCTCAGTCTCACTTTATCAGGTTTAC